GACTATATATATATATATATATATATATATATATATGCTAAATGACAAATATACATATGTGCATACACAAACCCTAAATAATTTCATATATTCAGGCAGGTCATATATTTATTTAGAATTCCCGCCCGAATTAAGAAAGTCGAGATAAAATTAAATTGGGTTGAATATTAACATGTTGGGTTCAGATATCCACTTAGTGCATGCTATTGGGTTTTGAATTGATAAATAAATGATCTCATCAAATAGTGATTACAGATTTCCATGTTAACATTAAAAAATAATAATAATAATAAAACTTCTTAGAAGTTAATACAATTTCATTGTAAAACCGATAAGTAATAATTATACAATTTATGTTGGTAAAAGGACGTGTTACGTGTAACATCAATCAACATATCCTAGGTTGGAAAAGCAATATAATTTCGGATTAAATAATGTTTTACCAAGCAACTCCCATCACTATCCTCCGGCTCCACCTCGTCTCACGACCACAAAAACCAATTTCCAATTCGTCAATATTTTAATTATGAATTCACACAACTACAGTGTGCATATATTTGGGTAAATTAAGGGAAAAATATCGCGAAGACTTTGAGGTCTAATGACACTCAGATTAAATTTCTATATGAAAAATTGTGAGTTCAAGCTTTAATGAAGATGTTATTGGCTCAATAATATTCAAAAAAAAAATGGAAAAAAACCAAACAGACAGTCAAATTGCCCTTTCTCTTATCACTTATGCTAAGGAACAATTTAGGCAGTCGCCTCATTTTTTTGTTTCGGAGTCACCGCTAAATTCCTTTTCCACACGCAAATACAGCAAATGTTTACATCTGTTTGACTGTTTATGTTGTACCATCTTATCTCAACATTAATATTTTTTTTTTTTAAAAAAATAACTTTCAAAATTTTTTAAATCTAAACTTAAGAGCTTTAACAAAAAAATATTCTTTTTAGATTTGTTAAGTTTTTCTTCAAAAAGTTAACAATTTTTTTTAAAAAAAAAAAAAAAACTTTTTTCCTTAAAATCACCCCTGTTTTACTATGAATTGAACTTAAACTAAAAATAGTATAACATATCAGGTTACATGCACATAGATTTGCGTCTAATGCTAGCACGGTGAGAGGTGAATTGACTATCATAAGTTTTGAACAACAAAAATAATACATTTAATATTTCGTTACGCCAACTTTGAAAGAAAATTAAAACCATAGTACCTATTCATATTCATGAAAAATTGAAAATTTATTCTTACCCTATTTTGATTCTTTGTCTTTCTATTCCCACCAAAAGTTTCTCCTTTTAATTGCCTTAGCTACAAAGCTATGGGTTATTGATAGGAATGGACATAATTTTTATGGGACTAAGAGTATACTATCACCCTTATAATTGTAGTTTTTGAGAAGTTTTTACAAGTGTGACTAAAAAAGAGAAGATAGGAGGGGAAAAAAAGAAAAAAATAATTAAAACAAAATTTAAAAAATTAAAGATTGGTCGCGTGCACGAGATTTGCACCTCACGCGAGATAGAGTTCCTCGTCTTCTTTATTGGTGGGGCCCACAAAGCTTACAAAAAGGGAAAAGACGGATCGTTATGCTGTGCAACCGTGTGCACCATGCAAGGTGCACACGAAATTAGATTCATAATTTCTATACTATAGATTCATAATTTCTATATTGTAGATTCTAAAATCTATATTGTAGATTCATAATTTCTAAACCGTAGATTCATAATTTAAATGCAGTAGATTCATAATTTATATACAGTAGATTCATAATTTCTATATTGTAGATTCATAATATCTGTACTGTAGATTCATAATTTATGTACTGTAGATTCATAATTTCTAAACTGTATAGTTATCAAATTATGAACATATAGTTTTGTGATTTGTGAATACATAGTTCAACAATTGGGAATATGAACATCGAAAATTATGAACATAGAGTTATGTAATTGTGAATATAGAGTTTAATAATTATGAATATGAAGTTAAAAAATTATGAATATATAGCTTTATAATTATGAACATATAGTCAGTAATTATGAACACAGAACAGTGTGCACCATGCATGGTGCCCACGGTTGCACAACATAATTTGTCGGGAAAAGACCAAGGTTCTTCTCTCTCCTCTCCCTCTCTCATCCACTTCAGCATGATCTCCTCAAAAACTACCCCAAAAACCACTGATGGGGATGCCCTAATGAACATATACATTTACTCCCTCCATCTCATTTTATGTGTCAGGTTCAGTTAACAAGATTTGACTGAAGTTATTTATAATTTAATTTTTTATAATATTAAGTTTAGAATTAGTATGTAAAATTTATATATTTGGAAACTACATTAAAATACTCTTAAACAAAAAAAAAATTAAAATTAAAAATTATTAAAAAAATGTTAATATAAATAAACAAAAAAGAAAGAGTTTGTTTGACTAAAAAATAGTAAGTATGAGAGATAAAATGAGACATATGAAGTAAAATATATTTGATGAATATATGTAAAATTAATTTCGTTAATTAACTTAGAAAAAAAGAGTAGGGTCATAATTTTTTTTTTTTTCATTTTCTTTCTTCCTCTGAAAATTCAGAAAAATTGAGTTGAAAAAAGCATTATTTTTTATTTAATATTTTTTTCAAGTTTTCCTTTCCGTAATTAATTAGTCATTAATCCATTATTATTGATCAGAGGAGATTGTCAAGCGGGATATGCTCTTCATCATGCCGCCATTTTTTATTGATTATTGACATTAGTAATCATTGCTATTTTGATTAGTTAATGCCTGTTTTATATATATGGTTTCTAAATTCTAATGCTTTTAGATTCATATTATTGACTTATGTAAAATATGAACATGTTGTTTAGGGATAGGATTATATATCTATGGAATATCATGTGAATCAATCTATAATAAATTATCAAATTATTATTCCGTGGAGTAATAAAAAATATTAATTATTTATTTTCTTTTTCCAAATTAAATCAACCCCAGCCCCCAGGTGATATCACATGAATACCTAATCCTATTTCCTCAACTCTTTTCTTTTCAATTTGCTTGTTTGTCTTTCTCTTTCCACAAACAAATTTTCACCTTTCAATTGCCTTTGTCATTAAATTCTTGATTTTCATACTTTGGATGCAAAAGATGAAAGGAATAAGGGTTAAATAGACCATCGAACTACACACAATAGTGCAATTAGGCCACTGAACTCAAAAAAACTATAATTGAGTCCCTAAACTAACTTATTTCAAATAATTTGTCCAATTTGTAAGTTTCCCCCCTTTCCAACAGGTCACCCAATTTAAAATATATTTTAAAAATATTTTTTTATAAAAAATAATTAAAATAAACTAAAATTATAAATAATAATAAATAAAATAAATAAATAAATAAATAAAATAAAAAAGAAAACCTCCCGTCTCCTGCCGGAGACGAAGAACTTATCTTCGTCTCCGGCCGGAGACGAGGAAGCCTTCTTCGTCTCTGGCCGGAGACGAAGAAGGTATCTTCGTCTCCATGGCCGGAGACGAAGAGTCACGTCTCCATGACCGGAGACGAAGTTTTTTTTTTTTTTTTTTTTTTTTTTTTTTTTTTTTTTTTTAAATTTATAATTTTAGTTTATTTTAATTAATTTTTTAAAAAATTATTTTTAAAAAATATTTTAAATTGGGTGACCTGTTAGAAGGGGGAAAACTTGTAAATTGGACAAATTTTTTGAAATTTGTTAGTTTAGGGACTTAATTGTAGCTTTTTTGAGTTCAGTGGTCTAATTGCATTATTGTGTGCGGTTCGATGGCCTATTTGACCCTTATTCTAAGATGAAATTCGTTGCTCCGAGGTCCACATTCCTCATCCCCACAAAAATTGTTTATTAGTTAAAATTTGTTAAATCATGATGACTCAACTGTTATTTAGTTAGTATAGGAGGATCACTACCTAGTAAGTATAAAAGTCATCAAAGTGAAGTCCTTACTATTAGGATTAAATTTTGCTTCTTTAAGTATAATCTCCTATGAGTTTTTTGCACTTTTAGTCCTATGAGTATTGTGGTATTAACAATGTTGATTCATAACTTTTAAAACTTGCATAATTCGTCCACGAGTATTAATTTCTTAGCGGAAATGGTTCTTCCGATGAAATCGTAGTCAATTTTTCACTGGAAAAATGATTTACCCTTTATAGCAAGGGTATAATGGTCTTTTCTTTTTACCATCACGTTTTCTCCTTAGAGTTTTTTGCACTTCTGGTCCCACGGGTATTGTGACACTAACAATGTTGATCCACAACTTTCAAAAATTGCATAATTGGTCAACGAGTACCAATTTCTTAGCGCAAAAAGAAAAAGACCATTGTACCTTTGCTATAAAGGAGAAATAATTTTTCCGGTTAAAAATTGACGAAAATTTCACTGGAAAGACTATTTGAACAAAAAAAATTGACACTCGTGAATCAATTATAAAAGTTTTAAAAATTATAGATCAACATTATTAGTGTCATAATACTCATAAGACTAAAAATACAAAAAAAAATCACCCGCACGAGTTTAGCTCAATAGTTTAAAAGACAATATTAGACAGATTCTTTGTGCGCACCGACATTTGGCCCTGTGCGCTGACCCATACTCAATTAACTACTTAAGAACCATCTAAGTAATTGGTGGCTCTTGATTTTCATACTTGGTTCTTGCCTTCTTGGTTGCTCTTCAACAGTCTCAGTTTACAGTTTTCAAAAAAAAAAAAAAACAGTCTCAGTTTACAATTGACTTTGCTTCCCCCACTCCTTATCAGCTTATTGGCCTCTTTGTAGTCATGCCGCCAGGGCGAGAGAAAAAAACCCATGGAGAGAGAAAAAACATAAATTGTGTATACCTTAGTTTCCGTGTCATCCTTTCTAGATTTTCCTCGCATTCACACCCATCCATACTTCCATACATACACGAATTAAATAAACATTCATTGAGACTCTTGAGAGAGAGAGAGAGAGAGAGAGAGAACCCAACGGGTTGGTTGGGCTTCTGGAGATGCATGTGTTCATAGAATCTTGACAAGAAAAAAAAAAAGGGTTTTTGTTCAATTTGAAGGTCTGGAGCTGTGGGGGAAAATGATGAAGTGTTTTCACGTTTTCAAGGAGAAATCAAGGTCAAAAAGGAGAGGAGAGTCAGCCCCAGAACTGGGCAACAGAGGAGACATTTCTTCTGCAACCACCACAAGCAGCAGCAGAGCCACCAAGTCAACAGGTTCTGTTTCATCCCCAAGAGGAATCCCAGAAATGTACAGAGAAAAGTCACAAAATTTGAGGGCTTTCTCCCTTTCTGACCTCAGGGAGGCAACCAACAATTTCCATAGAACCTTAAAGCTTGGGGAAGGTGGTTTTGGGAGTGTATATAAGGGATCAATTAGGCCTCCTGATGGACAGAGTGATCCTCTTGTTGTTGCCATCAAGAAACTCAATACCCAGGGATTGCAGGTAATTTTATATTCCAATCAATCTCTATGGATCAAATCAATTTTTTATCTGTTTGGTTTGTTTGTTCGTGTTCAGAGACATGAATTCTTTATTATATCCCAGTGGCCATAGAAATTAGTTATATTTTAATACACAAGTCTAGAGCTAGCTAGTGCCAATATAAGCCAGAATGAAGAAGTAGGCTTCTCTCAGGTTTTGGTGCTCATATTTTTTTTGGATTTCCTATGTTTTTGGAGTGTCTGACTGAATATACTAGGAATCACTGGGGAGTAATTCTTATTGTTGGGATTTTCGAGAGGTAGGGTGCTGGACTTGGTGACCGGTGAGTAATTCTTGTTGTTAGGATTTTCGAGAGGATTCGAACCCGTGAGCTGGCTCTAATACCACTTCTTAGAATCAAGCGCTTATCACTACGTCAAAAGCTATAACTCACAGCCAGAAAGAAGGTATTTCTTGTTGAGCATATCACCATTAATGTGCAATCTAACTGTCAGCTTAGGCTTTTAGTTGAGCTGGAGCACATGCTTCAATTTGGTATCAGCTAGATTCGTCACCCTATAAGCGACTACGGTCCACGTGTTGCTTGAGATGGAGCACATGCTTCAATTTTTCTTTCCTGGGCATATTCAATTCTTTGTGAGATGTTTGCAGATGCTATTTCAAGTGGCATTTCTTTTCCACCCTTCTAGAATATGCGGGTTGTGTTTCTTAGATATAAAAAACTTACCCATCGATGCCACTCTCGTTTTCTCACAGCTCTGCGATGAATCTTGTAAGAATGGCAATAGAACATGTAGTTTGGTTTCCCTTGAGAGTAGATTATGTATTTTCTTGGTTGTTTTCAACATTTATGCACTTCAACTTATAACTCTTTTGGTGAACAAATGCCGTAATATTTACATCTGTTGGGACACTAGCAAAGGACTTTGTCTTTGACAATAAAGGTTTCTATGTGGATCTTGAGATAAATGATGTTTACATTCGAGCTATAATAATGTAGGGTCATAAACAATGGGTTGCAGAAGTTCAGTTCCTCGCTGTCCTGGAGCACCCTAACCTCGTTAAACTTCTCGGGTACTGCGCCACAGATGGGGAACGGGGGATCCAGCGCCTATTGGTGTACGAGTATATGCCGAATAAGAGCTTAGAGGACCATCTTTTCAGCCGAGCTATACCCGCCCTTCCTTGGAGAACAAGGCTAAATATTATCCTCGGTGCAGCTCAAGGAATGGCCTATTTGCACGAGGGCCTCGAAGTCCAGGTATTATTTTAGTTCTCGTTAGAAAACACATCTTTTTCACATTTTGTGCAGTTTTATTTATAAAGAATTGAAGATAATAAGTTCCACTTCACGAATGCTGAACAATCTGAATTCTTGTGTTAAAAATGCTAAGGTGATATATCGAGATTTCAAGTCGTCAAATGTTCTCTTGGACGAGAATTTCAACCCCAAGCTTTCGGACTTTGGACTTGCAAGAGAAGGGCCAATTGGCGACAGAACTCATGTGTCTACAGCTGTAAGTAAACCGTACTGAATATTAGATGTCTGTTGAGCATATAATATATAAAATATAAATTTGCATAGTCTGACTATCAATTTAACCTTTTAGTCGAGACAGAACTTCAATTGTTTGGTTATCTAGTTGTGTAATCAGAACCTTTTGTTTTTTCGAAACATATGTACGATTAGCCCGTTGGCACAGTGGGATACGCTGCTCCAGAATACGTTGAAACCGGGCACTTGACAATCAAGAGTGATATCTGGAGCTTCGGAGTGGTTCTATACGAAATCCTCACAGGTAGACGAACAATAGAAAGAAACCGCCCGACTTCAGAGCAGAAGCTTCTGGATTGGGTTAAGCAATTCCCCGCGGATAGCAACAAGTTCAGGATGATAATCGACCCACGGTTTCAAGGTCGATATTCTCTTAACGCCGCGAGGCAGGTTGCAAAACTCGCGGATAGCTGCTTATCCAAGACCGCCAGAAACCGACCATCAATGAGTCAAGTGGTGGAGGCTTTGCGCCAAATTATGCAGCGTTCGGAGGAAGGGACGTCGGAAATCAGAGGCCCTGAACCAGTAAGGACTAGCAGAGCCGTTGCCTCGGTTAAACAGTTTGGAAAGAAGCCAATATCTGGAACTTCTAGGCAAATGACCCCAGTTTCTTAGGCAAGTCACCTCTAATATCTCGAATATGCTTATACTATTATATGGTCCGTTTTAGCTAGAAGCTTAAGCTGACAGTGAAACTGCACGTTTATATTTTATATATTATATGCTAAGCAATACCGAACCCATAACTTTGCGAGAAGCTGATTTGCTTGTCCTCGTATTTTGGCAGGCTTAGATGTGATGCTGAAGAAGAACTAAACACCAATATGATCAAACTTCACTTCTGAATTGAAGTGATGAGTTATGGTAAAGAGGAATTCTTCACATTTTTGAAATTTTTCTTGGTGAATGAGAGAGAGTATGATGTATCGATTTGGGGGTTTTCTGCATTACTAAAGCTTCAAAGTTTTCTTGGGTATTTAGCAACTAAAATTCCTTGTAATTGGTGATTTATTTTGTAAATAATAAGATTCTTTAGAAAGTTGTAAGCTTTGGTGTTCTGATCTCAACGTTTTGATTTCGGTTCTATGATGGATTCATATATTTATACAGAATTGGAAGCACCGATTCGTAGACTTTGAGTGGTAACACAAAATGTTTTCTCGGAAATGATTAGCCGTAATGTACTTTAAATTGTGATTCCCACATCTAATAAGCTTATATGCTTGGAGTTTGTAAATATGTATACACTCGAAAAGGCACCATTATTTTTTCTATTAAATTCCAACTCTTCGAATTTTCAACCGGCACACATTCCAAAAGCACCCTCAGTTTCGTCCAAAATGCATCGTTTTTCGTGGGCAAAAACTTATTTCTCATTTTTTTTTTACCAAATATGTTTGGCTACATAATAGAGAAATTCTATTTGCACCACCTAATTGCTATTTACACCACCTATTTAATAGGTGTGATAACTTTTAGGTGGTGTAAATAGAAAATTGCTATTTGCACCATCTTCATTAATTTTAGTCAAAACATTATTTTTTTAACAAATATTTATTATATAAATGACACATTTTCCCCTTAGATATATGCTTTTAACACTTTTTCTCTCTTAATTATTCATGTATCCACATTTGCCTCATAGTTATATTAAAAGTGGCATATTTTCTCCCTTTTATGTTTGATAGACATTTTTACCCTTAAAACTAAATATTTCATCTGTTTTTTCTTCTCCAACAAATTATTGTTTATATGTATGGATGGTCACGGTTTAATTCTAACAATTTTTTTTTTTTTTTTATTGTCAGTTCAAAATGTATTTATTTATTATAAATTTTATTTCTTATTTAAAAAAATAAATTTAATAATTAGTTTATTATATTTTATTTTTTCGGTTCTAAATCGTAAGCAAAGCCGAAGGGAGTTTGTTTTAATTTGCAATCACATGTGTTATATATTACTCTTCCGAACTTCATTCCAGTTAAAAGGGGGAAAAAGTATTGATTTCTTAGATTTTCTCAGTCATATTGAAGTTGACAATCCATTAAGTTCCAATAGCATTTTGGAGTGTGATTTTATATCTAAGATTATATTTGATTTCTCTTTTTGAGGAATGCACACCTTCATCAGAGGACATATATACTAGTAATCTACATTTACTTTGATTTAACCGCAATTGGTTTTTATATGATTATTATATATAATATGATTAAGCCAACTATAATGTAATATGATGACATTTCAATTACCATTTCAAATAAATAGTCATAGGTTCGAACCTTGGGAGTGGAGCTTAGATTCTTAGGGTTAAAAATGTTTAAGAAAATGTATAACAAATATAACTAATTGTGAAGGCACCCGGGTTGGACTTCCATTTGGAAAGTTGTGTGTTCGAGCCTCAGTGGAGGCGTTATTGGCTCTTTGCGTTTCAGTAGGTTGAGAAAGTATATGAACAGATACTACATTGTAATAGAGCTAGTAGCATTCAAAAAAAAAATTGTGAAGGCACAACACAACTTTATTTTCTTATACTTACGATTCAAAACCGAAAAAATGAAATAAAATAAAATAAAATAATTATTGAATTTATATTATTTTAAAAATAAGAAATAGAATTTATAATAAATAAATAAATTTTGAATTGGCAATAAAATAAAAAATTGTTCGAAGCGAACCATAATCATCCGTACATATAAACAATAATTTGTTGGAGAAGACAAAATAAATGAAATATTTAGTTTTAAGGGTAAAAATGTTCACCTAACATAAAATGGAGAAAACCTGCCACTTTTAATATAATTGAGGGAGCAAATGTGGATAAACAAATAACTGAGAGGAAAAAAATGTTATAATTATATAACTCAGAGTGAAAAAGTGTACAATTTTTCCTTAATCGGAAACTTTTAATTCGATTGCTATAGTGTCCGGTTCAGTTAGAATCGAACCGTGGTCATCCCTACAGATACACAATAATTTGTTAGAGAAGAAAAATAAATAAAATGTTTACTTTAAGGATAGAAATGTCAATTTAATATATCGGGGGGGGGGGGGGGGGGGGGGGGGGATCGTCACTTTTAGAATAATTGAGGGGGCTAATATGCTAACATGAATTATTCAGGGGTAAAAAGTACTATAAGTATATAACTTAGGGGGAAAAAGTACAATTTTCTCTTAATTAAATTTTGAATTAAAAAATTATTAATTACACCTCATAAATGAGGTTTGACTAAGGTGGTGCAAATAGCAAAATGAACCCCATTTGACTATTTTACACCACCTATGTAATTATTGAAAGTTTTCACTTTTTTACAATTTCAAGATACTTTATACATACTTTTGACCAAAGGGTGGTGCAAATAGCAACACCCTACATAATATAAATATTGTTGTACTGCTATAATAAATAAATCATTATTAAAATTTATCGTAGTTGTTTAGGACAAAGGAAATTGGAGTACAATAAAACATTACATGAATTACAAAAATATTTTAATGAACATCACATATATTATACCTATGTTATCATCCATATTTATCAACGTACGTGATATTTTTTTTTTTTTTTTCCTTAAAAACTGACTCTATTACATTCTCAACCTAATGAAGGTCACAGAGTGAACAAGTGAACAACGTCTCCACTGAAACTCAATTTCATAGCCTCCCACATGGGAGAGGTCACTGCATGTCATCTAAGCACAAGATGCTTGGCAATGTACATGATAATATCTATGAATAATTAAATTAATAATTACAACTACAAAAAAAAATTTATTTTACTTTATTCAAATACAAATTAAATAGATAAAATCTAGAATAGATAAAATATCATTCAAATATTTTTTTTAATCAACTAAGATGCAAATATACAATAAAATTATAATATACATATTGTAATTAATTACTTTTAAAATTAATTTCACTGTTATACTATTATTTCTAATTCTGTTTATTATTATATATAACATATAATATATAATATTATAATTATTAGGAATAAGGGTCAAATAGGCCACTTAACTGCACAACAAATTACAATTAGGCCATCGAACTAAAAAAAGATGCAATTAGGTTCCTGATGGGGATATTGCAGGTGAGCCATGAACATAGTGGGCTTACATTATTGGGCCGAGAGAGGAGGACAGGAGGACCGGGCTTGGGTGGCCAGGACTGGCCGCCGGCTCCAGCGCGACCCTAGCGCCCCGGCGTGCTGGGGTGGTCATGGCCGGCCCTGGGCATGGGGCCGGCACCGGTGACCGGAGAGGTTGTCGGCCAGGGTGCTGCCCCGGCCGGCGGTGGCAAACCTAGCGCGCCCGGAGCACGGCTCAGCGCGGCCTCGGCGCTCCGGCGCACCAGGGTGTCGGACGGCATCCGCGCGCAGGGGGCGGGCGGGTGCGCCGAGCATGGTGGACCGGGGGCGGCATGTGCAGGGTGTCGGAGGCGCGGGAATTCCGGGAGTATGGTGAACGTGTGGATTGGTGTACGGGAAATGAGGGAGTGGGTCTGAGCACATGGGACACGTGAATGTTTGGGAAGGGAGGAGGCAGGCTATAAATAGGGGCCCTGGATCTTTGGCTAAGGGAAACTCAGACACGACAGGCACTATGGTCTAGTGGTCTCTAGCTGGTTTGTACTCTCAACCCAGCTACCTGGATTCGATTTCTACAAGTAGCTGGTTTGTACTCTCAACCCAGCTACCTGGATCCTGTGGGCCTGTACCTCGGGCTTTTGTACGCATTGTTCTGAGCCTAGCGCCCTACCCCCGTTCTGTACCCCTGTATCCGATTTATGGTGGACCCGGTCCCAATAAAACCATCAATTTCCGAACTACACAAATTTATGCAGTTAGGTCTAAAATGACCTGTTTAACCACCATATAGGTTGCAGATTTTAAAAAATTTTTTAAAATAATTTTAAACAAAAAATTAATTAAAAAAAAAAAGAACGGCCGGAGACGAAATCGTCTTTGGCCGTCCTTCGTCTCCATGGCAGGAGACGAAGACCTTCGTCTCCTGTCTCCTGCCTTCGTCTCCATGGCCAGGAGACGAAGGTCTCTTCGTCTCCATGGCCAGGAGACGAAGGTCTCTTCGTCTCCATGGCAGGAGACGAAGACCTATAAAAGGCTACTAAAAACTAGCATATTTTGAGGCTTATCACAAGTTTCTACACTTTAGTTTGCTTGTCCCCAAGCAATTTCACAATTAAGAACTGATAAGCTCAAAATATGCCTTTGAATAAAAACTTTCGGTTTACCAAATGTTTCTCTTTAAGAACAAGTGCTAGACTATTATCAGAATGGAATCCCTTGAATTATTTCAAAAATGTGTGAATCATGCACCTGTCAACAATTCTTGGAATATTTAAGAAAATTGTCTCCTTAAGAAGGTAAAAACATTTAAACAAAACATGGTGACTCACTCTATACACCACTAGTCAAGCATGCAATCCAAAGTGGGGAGTTCACCTCTTATTTTACAAAGGCCTATAGCCGAGCCACACTAGTGGGAACGACGTGCACAATCCAACCGATATCCAACCTTATATCGCCAAGGTCCTCTACAAAAAGTAAGTGAGAGGTTTGGTATGGACCACTCACCAACCTTAAGCCAAAGTCCAGTCTCCTCCGGCACAGAGCTCTGTGTTAAGAAAGGTCTTAGGTTCGAACCTCATCCCAATCAGAGTTGGCATAATTTTTAAACCTACCAATATGTTAAAATATATGGAGTATTAAAAAATTAAATACAATATAAAATTTAACATAAACTTTGGTCAAATAATTAGCCCGACTAAATACAAAGCATTTAAAGTTGAGCGTCAAAGATTATAAATCATGAACTTCAAAAATCATTTTTTTTTCATTTAAAAAAAATTAGTTTAAGTTTTTTTTTTTTTTTTTTTTTTTTCGTTTAATTAATCTTCTTTTGATTATTTAGAACAAAACTTGATATTTCAATTATGCTTTTGCATTATTGGAATGATTTAGGTCATTACGGTATTAATCTTTTTTGTATATATTTTTATAACGGTACAATTGTACATTACTTTATAA